GTGTGTGTGTGTGTGTGTGTGTGTGTGTGTGTGTGTGTGTGTGTGTGTGTGTGTAACAGCGCTGCTGTCCCTCCCTCCACTCTGCATTCTAAATGATTGACAGACCACCGACTAACATTTTCCTCCGGTCTCGTCTCGTCAACGAAAACTCACACACGTTTCATCGCATCTTAGTCATAAAGAGCTATGTTTATTTCGTTACCGTCTCGTTATCGTCAACGAAAATATTTTGTCATCGTCATCGTTAATGAAAACAACACTGGTGTGGCACAACCCTGGGTCCGTCATACACGAGACCCACCACAGGAATTGTGGCTAAGCAAGCCCCCAGGGAAATAACCTGAGCTATCTCCCCACCGGACAGCCTCTAACTGCCCCCTAGAGTTCCCTGTACTCAAAACTCTGTCCAGTCCCAGAGGTCCTGAATTTATTTTTATTTATTTTTTGTGCAATGTGCCAAATTAGATATATTTTAGATTTTTATACAATAAAGATTATCTCACTGTCTTTCTGTCAGAAGGTTCTTTATCCAGTGTGGATTCATGGTCTGAGTCCAGACCATCAGCCCCTCATTCACTCAAAAATATTTAGTCCTGAGGTTTATCAGAGGGAGATCTTCTGGTCTCAGCCCATGGAGCTCCAGCGTGGATCTTGTTCATTGACACCAAAATTGTTGAGGAAATCTTTATTTCCCAAAAAAAAAAAAAACACGTGATCCAAGAATAAAAAGTACTCCGTGAATGGTCAATGAGGATTTATTGCAATTGCAGACACACATCATGTCACACAGGGCAGTGGCAATGTGTGCAATGAGGCAGTATGCAGAATGTTATTCAAACAGACAATAAACATCTTAATTGGCACTGCAACTGGGTCAAGGAGAACATGATGTTTGATAAACAGCATCAAGAATGATTACTTCTAACAGATATTGCAATGGTTGTGCAACAATTTATCTGAGAGAAAACAGAGGATAAAGAGTGGAATCATAAAACATGATGACATTTTAAGGTAAGCAAGAGGTCACTGACTCTTCACCTGAGAAGAATGAGGGACTTTAGAGGATAAGTTATTTTTCCAGGACAGCATCAGTCCACAAAGTACACTGTCTGTACTCTGAGTCATCCTCACCTGTGATGAGGCCGACTGTGGCAGAGTCATCAGAGAACTTCTGGAGTTGGCAGCCCAGAGAGTTGATGGAGAAGTCTGCAGTGCACAGTTTGTTTTAAATTGTTTTAATCCCTTGTGAGCTATCAAATTGTTTTAATGTGAATATCATTACATTTGACAGTGAATTAGGGCCACAAAAATTAAGCCTCCCATGTTAGACACGTAATGATCCCATTAATAAAAGGTTTGCTTGTGTGATTGTTAGCCTTTTAACAACCATTTAGAGCCACTCTCCTTGACCTCAGTGTCAAAACCTATCTCAGCTGAGGTTCCTTCCTCAGTCCAGTTTAACAGGGGCCAGTGAAAGTGGCAGTCAGCTGGCTCATCAGCTGTTGAGTTTAATTGGTGAATTGGACAGGTGGCAACAAGCCAACCACTGAGGTCAGAGATAATGATTATGAGCTGAGGCACCTGTGCAGGTGGGAATTGATGAAAGTTAATCGGATATTTGATTAGATCCTGAAAGGGTAGGGGAGGAGATCAGTAGCAAAAACTCCTGCATGCACAAAGCACTTACCATGGACAAAACAAATGGTAAATCAGTCACAAACCCCATTACACATGGGTGCTCCTCTTAGGCCGGGTAGACAGATGGGGGGCTAATACTAATGGGACACATGGCTAAATGGATAGGATAAACACTGTTTCCAAGGAAACCACAAGAATGTGTGTGAAGAGACAAAACACAACAAAAAACAGAAGGCTAGTTTGGTGCAGTTTGTGTGGTTAGGAATCAGTGGGTTTGCAGGCCTGTGTGCTCACTATGGTCGAAAGGATCTATGGTTGTTTAAATCTTGTAAATCAAGCTGTCAAGGTGATAATAAAAACCATCTAAGGTTTTCACTACAGGCAGAAACAATTTTACACACACCCCAACAAGAGCCTGATTTTATGCAGATGTTGAGTCTGTGCTAGAATAAATTCAATCTTAGTTTTAAGCTTTCTGCCATCTCAAAGTATACGCATAGTGCCTCTTTTCAGGTACAACCAAATGGTCAACTAGCTGGTTGACTAAAGACTAATGGGCAAAGTTGTATAACCCAGTCCTACATCCTTTATATTTCTCTGTTAACCACTCCTAGGCACTGAAGTCAATATCCATCCATCCATCCATCCATCCATCCATCCATCCATCCATCCATTTTCTGTACACGCTTATTCCTTTCAGGGTCACTGGTGCCCATTTACAGCAGTCACAGTGCGAGGGGCGGGGCACACCCTAACAGTTCGCAAGTCCATCACAGGGAAGTCAACAAATCTTACCACTGAATTTCACACATTCCATGATGTTTATGTCTCTTCAAACATCTAAACTTTGCTAATAACTTATTCAATGTAAACTACATATTTATTTTACAATTGTCAATGTTTCTAATAGCATCTTAAATCCAAATTAGCAGGAGTAAACTCCTATTCTGGTCATTTTATACAAGTCTTCAAGTTATCTTCTTACAAAACCAAGAGATCCAAGAAACTTGTTGTCTGTTTCACTAAAGCCTGGTTTATACTTCGAGTTGCACGTCTTTTCCCCCCTGCTGAGTGACAAAAAATTGTGCAACTTCCGTCTGCTCTCCCGCTGCTATCCCCTGGTGACAGCCGTATGGCCTTCATTCAGAACTGTGCCAATGGGACGTTGTGGCTCTCAGTGTGTGATAGGTCCAGAGTTTGTGGGTGTGTTGATGTGCATCACAGAGTGCCAGTGGTCCTCAGCTGTGCCGAGGAGTTGGAGCTGGACCAGAACAGGACCCCGCGCAGCTCAATTCTTTCTGCGTGTTATTTTGTTTAAAATTACACATATTTTTTTCTGAAGCCAGTTTTAAAAAGAGCTCAAAGAGCAACTGGTTTGATCCAGGTCCCAAGGATGAACGTGAGCACGCAGCTGGTCGCGTCTTTTTTCTGTCCACCGTTAACACACACACACACAAAAAAGAACAACTCTACTTCACTCAACTTAACACTTATGTTGAGCGGGAAAAAAACACTATCCAGCCTTTGTTATTGTAGTTGATATACTTTATATGAGCTATGAGAGGGGAGAGGGAGGATTTATGACAATTTATGGCCCACCGCGTCTTCAGCCTGTCCATACTCGGTTAGGAAAGACGAGCTGAAATTGCGCAATCATCAACCCGCTGTTGCATGTGTAGGGGTCACCTCGAGTGAAGAAACAGGAGTTCCAGCCTCKAAGCAGGTCTCGCACAGGCCTGAGAACTGGCAGGAACGCTGGACTCTTATTTTAGGCCATGACGGGTCATTT